TTCTTGAAAGTGCTTCTAGCCTCACGCCACCCGAATTACGACGAGGTCCGGGACGTCCGAGAAAGATTCAAAATAAGGACAAACGTGAGGAAGTTTTTACTTGACTTTGAAAATTACTATCATATAACTGAATTAAGACAAAGATTGTAACGAATTTCACGTTTTTAGAATTACTTCATCTCAGATGGTAATTTACTTTTTGTTGTTATTTATCTATAAGAAATACTTCTTGCATATGTCTCATACGTTAATATTCTAGAAGTTGTATTTGAACTACGCGGGAAACCCTTTGGACTCAGAGATGGTCAGACAGATTCCATGTATCAGCTGTGTAGAGCCTGGATGCGTGGCAAGGCCAGCGAACCGCCGGAACCACAGCCTATTGTACCACCACCCGTTGATACCTCATTGGTCAGTGATTGAATGACTTTTTGAGATAAAGTCGCTAAATTTTGATTTTCAGGATCTTCTCGTTATGAGAGATATCACAGCGCTACCGCGAGCACGATCTCCATATCCAGAAGAATCGGAATGGCCTGACAAGGCAACTATTGACAAATTTGACTCGAATGTTGATCCAAATAATTTATTGGCATTGCGCCAAGAATATGCTAGGCATTGGAAACAAGTCAAGGCTGGGTGAGTAGAACCATGTGTTTGGTGCTTTCTATGATAATGAGGTTTTTAGAGTTATTGACATGAAATTTTAGGTGGAGAGCACACACAAGAAGACGAGCTCAACGATATCATAGAAGTATACGATTGCTGGAAACAGTTTATCAAATTAATCAAGACAATACTGCTTGAGGTAGTTTAGAAATTTGTTTGAAAATTGTTAGGATATGTTTTTCGCCTTTTTATAACTTTAATTGTAAATTGTAATTAATCAAAATTCAACTAAGCTATATCTTCGTTTATGTCAAGTTTTCAGCATCCTTATTTAAATTCGGGAAAAAAAGTGCCGTAGTTTATATAACCAGTTACTTTACCAATTATCTGCTTATACTTAATTATTGCTCATTTTTCATAAGTTTGCGCTAGGTAATTTCCTAGATTATTTGGTTATTTTGTATGAATTTGCATCACAAAGTTACGGTCATTGTCTTAAGTAAGTGACAGTAGTTCTCCATCGTGGCCTTGTGGCCTAATGGATAAGGCGTCGGACTTCGGATCCGAAGATTGCAGGTTCGAGTCCTGCC